CATTAGCACAATCAAATGTTCTGGGATTCCCGTTCTTCTCAGAGTCAGCCATAGCTTGTTGTGATCCACACAGTCAAAAGCCTTTGCATAGTCAATAAAGCACAGATAGACATTCTTCTGGTATTCTCTGCTTTCTGCCAAGATCCATCTAACATTAGTTATAATATCCATAGTACCGTGACCTCTTCTAAATCCAGGCTGCACATCTTGTAGGTCTCTGTTGACTGTTCTAAACGTTTTTGGATAATTTTCAGCAGACTCTTGCTTGCATGTGATATTAATGATATTGTTTGATAATTTTCACACTCTGTTGAGTCACCTTTCTTTGGAATGGGAACAAATATTGATCTTTTCCAGTCAGTTGGCCAGCTGACTGTCCTCCAGATTTCCTGGCACAACTTAGTGAGCACATCCAGTGCAGCATCTCTTTGTTGAAATAAATCAATTGATATGCCGTCAACTCCTTGGAGTCTTGTTTTTTGCCAATTCCTTCAGAGCAATTTGAACCTCCTCCTTCATTACCGTAGGCTCTTGCTCATATGTTCTTTCATGAAATTCCTCTGTTAGCCAATTCCTTCTGATACAGTGACTGTGTACTCCTTCCATCTTCTTTTGATACTTCCTGGATCATTTCACATTCTACCCAAACTATCCTTAAGTATTGCCACTCGTGGCTTGAATTTGTTTTTCAACTCCTTCAGCTTAAGAAATGCTGAGCGAGTTCGACCCTTTTGATTTTCAGACTCCGGCTCTCTGCAAATTTCATTATAGTATCTTGCTGCCTTTTGCCTATAGTCCCAAGCTGCCTTTTGAAATTTTCTGTTCAGGTCTTTGATTTCTTGGTTTCTTCCTTTAGCTTTGGCTTCTCGGTGCTCTGATACAATACTCAGAGTCTCATCTGACATCCATCTTGGTCTTTTCTTCTTCTTCAGCCTTTGTGATGATCTTTTGAATTCTTCATGGATGATTTTCTTGGTATCTTTCCAGAGCTCATTTGGCCCTGAGATGGTTTTGAAACTTTAAACCTATTATTTGTCTGAAAGTTGAGCCACATGACTAAGTTTAGTTCCAGGTATGAAATGATTAAGGTCATAGTTTTGGGGGTTTCAACAGTATCAGACGAATTTTTTTCTTTTATTTTGAGTGTTCTGCATTTTTCTCTCTCATTACACAACCTTCTGTGATTCATTTAGAGCCATCAGCAAAGCTGGCATGGGCACCATCTAGTTCTCCTGGTTTTGAGGTCATGGATTGCCTGGGCCACATCATTCATTAGTTATTTGGACTAATATTTCAATGAGTCTTAAATTTTCTTCATTCTTTTTTTTTTTTCCATTGGTCTGGACAAGGAGGAGCCAATAGTTGCACTTTAGAGTCTGTTTGCTTGTTTTTAAGATCTCGGTGACTACTCACAGAAGTAGGATGTAAAATTTTTTTGTCTTTGTGGGCTATGTTATGCCACTTGACCTTGACAATTTCTACCACTATAACTCTGTAGACTAGAAACCTCTTAATTATATTTACATCCTTTTTAATTATGACCAAACATCTTGACAGAACTTTGCCACCTGTTGGCTCTACTAGCTTTATCTATATCTGAATATATCTGCATGGTCCCTTCCACCTGCAGATATCTGTTCATTCTGCCTGTCTAGCTATTAATCTATCTATTGACTAATGTTTGTTATTACTAATAATGTAGGGTGGTATATATAGTCTTTATCTTTGTTGTCTCTTTTGGGAACTTCTGTCTCTTCCTTTCCTTTAGTGATACTGTGCTAATCACTCTCGTTGTACATTTATTACCTTTCTGTGTATTGATTGCCTTTCCCTTCACCCTCTTTAATATGTTTCTAGTATCTAGTTCTTGATTATTCTTTCCAGTTTCTATTAAACTGGACTTTGGTAATAATTTTGCCCAACATGTTAACATAAACTCATTTGGACAGGTGCAAATTAATAAATGAAACATGGATAAAGAAGGAAGGTATACATCAGAAATCACTGAAAGTGGTAACAACTCAATTCAACTCATTGTTGTCCAGTTAGAACAGACACACAGTTGGCCTTCCATTGGATTTCTGAGGTTATCAATCCCAAGGGAGGAGATCTTTCTCCTGGCAGCGGATTTGAACCTCCAGAGAGGCATAGCATGCATATTAGCAGTGCAACTTCCTGCAGATTATACCACCAGAATTCCCAATAGTGCTAACAAAGACTCTGAATTAACATTTTTGTGTAGAATATAGTTGAAAATATAAAGGAAAAATAAATATGGGCTTAAAACAGACTTTGGAGAATTTTTTCTTTTAATGTGGAAAAGAAGGGATAAGAGCAGAGAGAATTAGAGATAAAAACAATAGAATACATTGTAAACAGGATAAAAACACAGGTAAAAAAGAGAGAGAGATAAACTAAGATAGAGTCACAAGATTTAAGGGTTAGGCTTGCCTTCTCTAGAATCTTTGTGAAGCAATCCCTATCTAACCAAGTCTAGTGGGAAATGGGCAAAGAGAAATATGTGGTGAAAAGCAGGAAAGGAGCTCTGTAGTAGGTTTAGCTACTTTTAGGTTAAGTAAGAGCTGGTCACATTTATAGGAAATATAAAGCAGAATATAAAAGGAGGGAATGAAGTTTAAAAAAAAAAGATAGCTATTGGGGTATAATGCCCTAGAAGAGGAAAAAGATAAGATCAAAATAACATATCTGATAATTATTGAAATACAACATTATCAAATTCTATGACCTTAAACAATTGCTCTTCATTTTATCCAACTCCTAGTAATTTTGTTTAGAATATACTAAGATTGTAAGACATATTTTCAATTCCAAAACTTACATCCTTAAAGAATGGTTATGTAGCTTTGGAATATATAAGTTCAAGAGGGAAAAAACGATAAGATAGATGAGATAAAAATAAATTTATTATTATTTAACAAGCTGTATAATAAGTTAGTACCATCGCTAGATGCCATCAAATGTGTTACAATTCATGGTGAGTGACATGCCAATTAGTCTTTCTTCAATTCAGACAGCTTATGTTGTTGTTGTTAGGTGTCATCAAGTGACTTGTGACTCCCAGTGATCTTACATACAATAGATGGAAACCCTGCATCACCTTCACAAGGTGTAAACTCTGTAAACTCATTGTTACCGTCACTGGGTCAATCCATCTTTTTTAGCTTCTTCCTCTCTAACTAACCTATATCTCCATGCATGATGTCTTTCTCTAGGGACTGGCCCCTCCTAATAACATGCTCAAAGCATGTAGAACAAAGTTTCAAGAGCCTTGCTTCTAAGAAACACACAAACTGCATTTCTTCGAGGACAGATTTGTTTGTTCTTTTGGCAGTCCATGAGCTATCCAATATTTTTTGCCAACACTACAGAAAATCAAAATATTCCTGTAAGTCTTATACAATACAGCAAACACTGGCAAACTAAAAAAACCCCTGAATCAAATCCAACATGCTGCCTGTTTTTGGTAAATAAACTTTTACTGGAACACAATGAAGTGTATATGTTTACATACTGTGTGTGGTTTGTTGTGTTGCCTTAATGATAGTTGAATTGCAATAGAGACTAAATAGCCCACAAAGCTATTTAACTCTGACACTTGATGTTGCTGTTATGTGCCGTCGAGTCGTTTGCGACTCATAGCAACCCTATGTACAACAGCCCTAAACCCTGCTCTATCTTGTGCCAATCGCACTGCCTCTGACACACTCATCCCAATTACCCCAGTCACTGAATCAATCCATCTCATAGAGGGTCTTCCCCTCTTTTGTGGTCCCTCCACCCTTCCAAGCATGATGTACCTCTTCAAGGACATGTTCCTCCTTGCAACATGCCCAAAGTATGTCAGACGAAGCCCCAGAATCCTTGCCTCCAAGGAGTTGCTTGGTTTAACCCTCTCTAGGATGAATCTGTCTGTTTTAATGGCAGTCCATGGTACATTCAATACTCTTCTCCAGCTCAAAGGCATCAATTCTTCTTCTGTCCTTCCTAGTCATTGTCCAACTCTCTGATGCATAACAAGTGATTGTAAAGACCATGGCCTGTATCAGGTGCACCTTAGTCTCCAGAGAGACACCGTTGCTCTTGAGTACTTTAGAGAGGTCCCTAACAGCAGACTTTCCCATTGCAATATGTTTTTTTGATTTCCTGACTGCTGGTGCCAAGAGTGTTGACCGTGGAGTTGAGCAAACTGAAGCTGACACTTGATAGACTGTAACAAAGGTGTTCTGCATTTTGGTATACCATCTTACAGCTAAAATTTGCATATAGTGTCTTTTAATGATTATGAATTGATATTATGAATTGATTATGGACAGTTGATACTGTCCATAATTTTTATAACTTCTGAAAGATTACATTGTGTAAGTTACTATATGAGAAGCTATTTCCTTGATCCTTCAGAGAAACATAGTCTGAACCTATAAATTCATAGCCAATTTAAATGATCTTTTAGATATGATCTTTATGCCCAATTCTACTCAGAATAACTTATTCACTGGGACAATTTCATTCCCATAGTTTAAAATGCTAGATCATTTTAATAACACTTATTTAGTACTTATTTTGAATCTCAAATTCTGTCTTCTCAACTAATCCTCATTTTCTGTCTATTTAAAACATATTTGATGCATTTTGTTAACATCACTGAAGGGTGTCAGTGAAAAACTTTAATAATGATATCTCACAAAATTGTCCTGAGAACTACAAATGTTATGCCCATGAAAACATTTTGTTTAACAAAGGTTAAAAATGTTTTACATATTGTTATTCAGAATAAAATCACTACGACATTCTGGTGATTCAAAAATAAACTATAAAAAGCAATAGTCACAAGCTCTTGTGTTCAACATAAATGTGATGAAGAGGATGTACTAAGTTGCCACTATAATAGTGAAATTATCCTTGGGGAAAAGACATGAATTTATTTTGGCAAAACCAAAATTCATAAACCAATGCAAACTCAATATTCTCAGAGGGGGGAAAAACACCAAACGGGCTAAGGTCCTGGGAAAAAGAATCCTTCAGTATTTGTAATGCATCTGCTTACAACAGAAAATCTAATAATTGGCCAGGGGTATTTTTATCAACTATAGTTGGAATAATCCTAAAAATAAAATTATTAATGTCTGAGTATTTTATATACACATTATTTATAAAACTAGATGACATTTCTAGAATGTTGTACAATGTTTACTTGCTGTACTTTCTCTTTTAGTCCTCAAGAACCTTATAACTGGCAACAGTAATAATACTTATTATCACTACTCTTTTACAAAATGTTGGAACTGTTTATTAGCTCAGGACTATTCAAGTAACCCAACTATTGTCTAAAAAAAAAGTCTAGAACTCTGGTGCCTTTCAATTCCAAGTACTCTTTGTCCTACATCATAAAAATATAATGACTTCTATTTTTATATATCAATAAGATACAGTATTTAAGATCATGAACCTTGAAGTCAAAAAGGCATTCACTGTCTGATTCTTCCTTTATCTTTATGAGATGAGTGATATCACTAAATTTTTCTCTCCTCTAAAAAGAATAAAATAAAACTGACTACCTCATATAGAATTGGTCTAATATTTTAATGAGATAACTGCATATAGCATACACTACATGATAAATAAGGATCTTTAGTGGTATCATAGAGGGCTGTGGTGGTGTAGGCTGTAGGGAGTTGCACCACTAACTCAAAGGTTACACCTCTCCAGCAGTTGGAATCTACTAGCATCTCCATGAAAGAAAGATGGGATCAATAGCCTCTGAAAACATGCCAAGGGGTCGGCTGTGAGTTGGTTCTTACTCCATGACAATGAATTTGAGGGATTCCTTTAGTGGTAAGGTGCTTAAGCACTTGATTGCTAGCTAAATGGTAAGTTGTTCGAATCCACCAAGAGTTAATGGGAGCAAAGACTTGTCAATCAAGTTTCCTGAAGTTTACAACCTCGGAAACCTTACCAGGTAGAGGGTTTTTTTTTTTTTTCTGTCATATGCTATTGTTGCTAGGTATCATGAGTAGGAACTATCTCGTTAACAACCTATTGACCTGTAGACCATTGACAACCTGTGGCTGACCTTCCAGGAAGCTCTCAGAGGCAATAAATAACAAGATATAACTTGATCCCAACTTGTTGGCAATAAGTTTGAGATTTTTTTGGATATAAGACAAGAAATATAAAATGTACTCATTTCTGTGTCTGCTTATTACTGGATATCTATCACAGTTTTAATTATTTATAGCAATATTTAATGAATGTTTTCACTATTCCACAGAGGATATTCATGCTCCAATAGTTGGAGAAGAAAAGGAGGCACATTCATTTTTTAAAAATAACATCTGGAACTCTTTCAACTGTTAAATCATTCCAATTTCCCATTGCCTTAAAATATCAAACAGATGAAGAGGTGTATAATAATCTCAATGACCTTATCTACCTACAAACCAAGGAAAACAACGATACTAAGATAGGAAGAAATGGAATGAGTTGTTGAACTGGAGTTTAAACAGAAATTGGGACCAAAAGAGTGTCTCTGAAAAAAACATGCATCCTCTGTTTCTTGCAGTTTTACTCAATACAAATTCCCAATTCTCTTTGATCAGCACAGATTACTGTACATTTCAAGATTCGTGGTGCTTTTTGTTCATAGTTATTGAACTAGAAGGAAGTTAGGATTACTTTTGACCGAAATGTAGGAGAAAAGATGAACCAACCCTGTGGAAAATTCAGAAGCATACATATGAAAAAATATACATTTGTGTATATGAGTACAATCACAGACACTTATTATATACAGATATCCCTGATGGTACCATGGCTGTGCATGCATTTGGGAACTGAAATAATGAGAGATTTGAACCCATCAGGAAGTTCTAAAGGAAAATATACCAAGTAACCTGCTTTTATAAAAATTTAAACTCTGCTTTAGAGTAAATCTCAACTCATAGCACCCTTATATCTGGTTTGAGAGACTGTGAATCTCAATGGGAGGAGACTGCTCCTCTTCCTCCAAAGGAGCCACTGGTGGATTTCAACAGCCACAGTCTCGTTTTGAGTTAGCACAGCATCTTGTTATAGACTATGCCATCAGAGCTCATTTCCATAAAGAGGACAGCCTTGCAAACTCTATGGGGAAGGTCTGCTCTGTCCTATGAGTCAGAATCTACTCAACGGCACACAGGAATGAGCTCATGCTCATTGCCTTTTAGTCGGAACCAATCCACAGTTTGATATCCCGTGGGCTTTTAGAGGCTGTAAATCACATAGGAGGAGATTGTCCATCTTTTTATCATATCATGGCTGGTGGAGCTGATTCACCAGAAAGGTGCCCCCTTTGGCTTTGCAGCACATCACAGTGCAGACTATGGCACCAGAGCATTCTTACACAAGAACATCATCCCAAGAGAAGTATCCAAGAATCTGCATTTAACCCTTGATCTTCTTTCCAAGTAATTTTCTAATGTTGAATTTGATGTTTAAATGCAGCCTCAGCTGTGTGTTTCAAAATGCAAATCAAAATACAAATACACTGCCTATCTGATATTTTTTAAAATGCACTTTCTGAAACAGCTTAATTTCTGGATTTTTTTCCTGTGCAAACAAAATAATTAACATTTTAAATGTTTGCCTCAGGTGATTCGGAAGGGAGAAGTCAGCTGTTGCTGGACCTGTACACCTTGCAAAGAGAATGAGTATGTCTTTGATGAATATACCTGCAAAGCATGCCAGCTGGGATCCTGGCCCACTGATGACCTTACAGGTAAATGTATCATTATGTCAGCACATGGACAACCCCAAAATACCAGCTTTAAAAAGATTTAGCCTGGGCAGAGAGATTTCTATTTCCAAGGTTTTGGTTTTTTGGTGTTTGTTTTCCATTTGGGTGGTCTGTTTATATGATAAAAAAGAATTCCTTTAGGAGCAACACTATTTCCAGGTTCCTCATGAAAATATTTCCACCTCAGAGGGGAGCTGCCCACACAAAAACTCAAATCCATATAAGATTACAATCCCTTATCCCATCTTCAATCTTGTTCCATGTTCCTCAGCAAGGCCCATATAAGAAAAGAAAGGGTGCATTTTGGCTAGGAAAAGACAGAAATATGTCATTACATATTCAAGAATAAAGAAATGAAGCACAGAATAGGGCAGAAGTTGCTCTAGACTTTCCCTTTTAAACCTAGAATGCCCAATAAGATTTTTCAAGTAACAATGCTGGCACAGGACAAGAGTTGGTTTTTGTTTGTGTTGTTTGTTTTTTAGTGTTTTTTTATGTTCCAGTGTTGTTGTTGTTAAGTGCCATCGAGTCGTATACAACTCATAGCGACCCTATGAACGAGAGACCTAAACATTTATATAATTTTCATAATTTCTCCAAGTTCATAGAGTTTATGAAGTCAAGCTATTTGGGAAGTTGATGCCACTTCTTCTGCTTCTAATAGATATTAAAAAAAATATGTACTTATGTTCTCATGACTGTATTTCACAGCCACACCTAATTTGTACAATACAATATCTTTTATCCTCTCAACTTTTTTTAAAATAAACATTTATTTAGCATATACATGTCCATTTTTTTACCACTGTGAAAAGGAAAATATAATACTTTTATTTTAAAGGAGTTCATAGTTTAATGAGATGGGCATGAGGAAGAGATATGACACTGAATTTGCAAATGAAAGAGCATTTTGAGCAGAAGGTACTGCATTAAGTATGTCAATCTAGTGGGATTAGACCATGTGGACTAATCTAGCTCAATCTAGTATAAAACTCCTAGAGGTCACCAGTGTTAGATTCTAGCCCTACTGTGATGGTCTCTATGGTAATTGTATTTATTAGCTTATTCCAAAAATCTGGTCCTTCAAAGTCCTCTGATGCTGGGACTTTTGAGACCAGTTCATATAAGGCTTTGTTTTTAGTAGTTGGCATTCATTCAGAAAGCATCATTCTCCTTAAAAACAACACATCTTAATTAATTATGCATCCAAGTGCCTTGTGATAGCCTCCATGTCCTATTTTCACCACTAGACAATGAGCTTTCCTATGTGCTTATTCATTCTGGTCTCCCCAGAGCCAAGTCAGTGGGGAAACAAGGCCTTCAATAAATTTTATTGAATCAATGAATTACTCCCTCCACACACAACCAGTAAAAATGTCACAGAGAAAAAACAAAATATCATGATGGGTTTCTTTGGGAAAGAGTTTGAAACCAAATATATAAGTGCTTTTTTCCTTTCAATTATTTCTTTATCTTTTTCATAATTGTCTAGATTCAGCCTGAATTATTGTTAAAATTAAAAACTGTTAGTGCAATTATCTTGCGTGAGAAAGCATCTTGTGTGTTAATTTATAGGAATAAATGTTGCTCTATTATATAAGACTGCTCCTTACCCTGCTACTCAATGAACATCTTCTATTCTTCCCAGATAGACACAGAAATATCTGTCCGCCTTCCCCCATCTCTCTGTCTACACACACACACACACACACACACACACACACACACACACGTTGTGCAAACATAAAAATATGAAAATATTAAGGAAGACCTAATTTAAGATTATAGTAAAAAAAGGACTCTCTACAAAAAAACAAAACAAAACCTCATATTGGCTAAGATGTAAAGGATAACTATAAATAGTTAACAAAGACTATAAAGAGGGCAATTTTTGACTAAGAGGTAATCATATATTATCAGATTAGCGTAAGTAAAGGGTAAAATGATGTCCAAAGGGACAGAAAAATAGCAAGTGTAGATCTTATCCATCACTGTAGAACATGTTAAAGTAAGTACTTGATTATTTTGAGTGCAATGAAAATATAGTGTAAGAATTTCAGCAGAAGAAAATACAAGTAGAGAAGAATTTAAGAATATTCTGGTAGCTGTGAGTAAGAATTTGTTGTAAATAGGTGGGAAGCTGCATGTAGCTACTATAGGCAAGAGTTCTTGAGGTATTGAGATAAATAGTGCCATTAGACTTGGTATACAATTAATCAACGTAGAGGTGAATTTTATATGGAAGGCATTACGCAAAGGTTGCCAAATGTCATCCTTCTTTGAGGATTATAGGAATAAATCCATTCCTTGACAAAGATCTTTTAAAAGTCTAGTCTTCACTATAATCAATTTGATAGAATTTTTAAAATTTTAAGGTCTTAATTTGGGCTAGATAATTCACTAGATAGTGGAAATATAAGAACTATAATAAATTTTAATTCACTGGAAGCAGAAAAAAATGTAAATATATGGCAACAAAGCATGCTAAGTTCTATGGTTAAGGAATGATTAAATATTATGGAAATATGATGGCTAACATAAACTCTAGGGTTTGCAAAGATTTACTCTCAAGTTATAAATTGAAACTCTTTTTTTTAAAAAAAAATAAGGAAACTGAAGCAGATTCTGTGGAAAAGAAAGAATAGCTGTTTCAGATATTGACATCATATCAACTAAAGAATGATGACTGGATAATGGAATATTGTTGGCAACAATTACAGACATATCCATTCCTATTACCTGCCTCCAATTTCAAGGATTTCCCTCTATTGTTTAAAGATAAATTCTATTCTTAATTATATTTTACCCATCATTCACATCAATAGTTTTGATGAATAATTGCTAGATTTTTTTTTCAATTTCCTCACACTCAATTAATGAAAGCAATATGTCTGTCCCTACATTGTAAAAGATACCAATGACCACAATCTTGGCAAACCTAGTGTCCATTTTTGAATTTTCATTTTTAAAAGCCTTTTTAATTCAATGTAATACCTTGATGCTACATTCTTTAATTACTCTCTACTTCCACAACAATATGATATAAATCTTTCTGCTTAATATTATAGACTTCAGAATATTTTTTGCTTCATTTAATTAATATCCTTAAAGCCTGATGTGTCCCTGAGATCCATCATTCAGTCGTTATTATTCTCTTTCTGAATAATCTCTCCAAGTGATTCCATCTATCCTAAAGGTTTTAACTATTTCCCCTATGGATTTTGGTTTTGTTTTGTTGTGATGTTTTACTCACAGGACTGAAAATCATTCAGTATATATAATCTCTGGTTTACAAATGAGATCAGATCCTAACTGTCATTGAGAATTTAGCAGGGTTCAAACTAATTCTGCATGGTTCAGTTGTAGGAAGTGTCTCCAGAACAGATCTAAGTTTCTTAAGTTTCAGTGAACTGGAAAGACAGCAAGAAAGTAAAAATTTGATGGAAATTTAATCTCATTCTGACAAAAAAGAATGGCAGTCTATATGTCACGTAGCCACCAAATTTCTGGTCATCAGTTCTCCCATTGGATTTTAAAGATAGTCTGAATCAGCAGTGCCCCGCTCAAAAATGGCAGCTGACTATATTGCTTTGAATGTATGTTACTCTGCTATAATCCCAGTAATAATCCAGGTTCATGAATCAGGCTTCTAAAATTGTTCCCTACCCCCTCTTCCTCATCTGTCAAAATTGAGACAAATATTGTTTCTGTTCCAGATACCATACCAAATCTGCCACACTGAAAATTCTGCATCTATTCTTGTTTCACATCATTGGCCATGACAGAACTAGTTTAAAGGTCAAGGAGACATTGTCGACAGTCAGATATTCATATCCTAGGTACTACCTGTATTCTTTTCTTGAGATTCTAATTGATGAATACAACTACATTTCACATGTATCTAAATCCAATATGCCCATACTTCCTTTAGCTCTCACTTCACTCCTTACTATTTATAGGCTTGCTTTTCCCCTTACAGCCTCTCTCACATCATTTCCTTAGCTGCCACAAATCAAATCAGCTTATCAAAAAGACAACCAATCAAGAATGGGCAAAGAACTTAAAGAGACATTTGAAAAAGAGGATTATACAAGCAGTCAACCAGCACGTGAAAAAGTACTCAATGCCACTATAAAATATTCACAACATTAAAATTCACTTCCACTTAGTTCTGACTCATAATGATTCTCTATCAGATTTCTGAGGCTATAAATCTTGACAAGTAGAGATTGCCCATGTCTCCCCTCTCAGCCCTGATCAACTGGTAGATTCAAACCACCTGTTAGAAGTGAAACAGCCTGTGGACAATGCCACTGTTGTTGTTGAGTGCCATGGAGTCAGAACCCACTCATGGCTGCCCCTTCAGACAGTTTTCAGAGACTGTAAATTATAAGGGAGGAGATCGTTCATCTTTCTCCCATAGAGCTGCCTGTGGATTCGAACAGCCTATCTCTAGGTGGATGCACAAGTTCTTACCCACTAGGTGTTGTTAGGCGTGATCTAGTCAATTATATATAATTCATGACGACTCTAGGGACCATAAATCAAAACTTTGCCCTATCCTGTGCTCTCCTCACAGGATCTTAATGCTCACACCCACTGTTGTAGCATCAAAACCACAGTAAACTACCATCTTAGCCTCACTAAAATTACTATGGTTTAAAAAAAAAAAAAAAGCAAAGGCAGAAACCAAACATAGAACAGCAGGTGTTGGTGAGGAAGTGGAAAAATTGGAATCCTCACCCATTGCAGGTGGAAATCCAAAATAGTACATCCACTGTGGAAAACAATTTAGTGGTTTCTGAAAAAGTTAAATGCAGAACTACCATATGTTCTAGCAATCTCAATCTTAGGTATAAGCTCAAAAGGCGTGAAAGCAGGAACACATATAGAAACCTATATGCCCATGGTCAGTGCAACACTACTCACAGGTGTTAAAAGGTAGAAAAAACCCAAATGTCCATCAACAAATAAATATATAA